AGGAAGGGGGAACAGTTAGAGGAACATGTTTTGAGGAAGTTATCCAAAAGTGACCACTTTAGTAAAAATAGAAAAGTAGTTGAAAGGGAGATTTATAGGAGAAAAATACTTTAACTTATTTCCTGAAGCATAAAATAACACATTGAAAGAATTCTGATACATTTGAATATTTTATTTTTCAACAGTGAAGGTACATAAAGCAATTAGCTTTAAGTCTGATCATGTGGTTTGTTGGTGACCGAATCTTCAAGTTTCTTATCCATAGTAATAAAATTATGACACATAGCAAACACTCAAATCTTTGCCAAATGAATGGCATTGAAGTTGTTGCAATGAGATGTAAATGAAGTTCTGTACAAACATAGAAGATGGTGGGACAACTTGAAGATGCTTGGAAAAGATTAAAAATTGGGCTTTGATCTAGGTTTCACCGAATAAATAAGACAAGATGTACTGCCTGACCATGGCCCCAAATGCAATGGGGTCAAGCCATCACAGTTGAAAGCTCTAAAATTGTGAGCCAAAATAAACCTTTTCCCAGAATAAGTTAGTTATCTCAGTATTTGTTGCAGTAATAGAAAGCTGACACATGCATACCCATAGTAATTTAGCTCTTTTTACATTAGGGAATGGGGAAATGTGTATCCTATAGTCAGAACACTTACATTACTAAGTGCAATATTCTTATGTGTGAAAATCAAGACACTGTCTGGTAAATCTGTTATTAGACATATGGTTTGCCAGTCAGTGAAACCTGCCTTCCTGGGGTACTCTGATGGGTCCTGGAGAAAATGTTGCTTGAATACTTTGTTTAGTCAATGCTATAAAATATGGCTAGAGATTTCATTAATTAGGCATGGGTTTACAAACTAACAAATTATTATACATTAGTAGAAAGAAACCTATTATAAAATGATTTGGCCATGATTTTTTTCTTTATCCTTTTGAAGAACCAGCTCTTCATTGTTTCTTTGTATTTTTTTAGTGTCAATTTCATTAATTCTTTCTATGATCTTTATCATTTCTTTCCTTAAATTAGCTTTGGATTTGGATTGTTCTTGTTTTTCTAGGACACTGAAGTATGTCATTAGGTTATTATGCTAGCTCTGCTTTATTGCACAGCAATAAATTTTAGTCTTAGGATTACTTTCATTATGTCACATAGGTTCTGATATGTTGTATTGGCATTATTATTTGATTTTAGGAACTTTCTGATTTCTTCTATGGCTCATTGATTATTCAAGAGTGTATTGTATATTTTCCACATGTTTGCATAATTTCTGTGGTTTCTTTCACCATTGATTTCTAGTTTCATTGCACTATAATATGATAATTTACATGGGATAATTTTGATACTTTCATATTTACTTGAGCATGCATTATGGGCTAGTATGTGGTCTATTTTAGAGAAAGTTGCAGGTGATGCTGAGAAGAATGTGTATTCTATTTTTGAGTGGAGCACTCTGTAGTTATCTATTAAGTCCATCTGTTGAAAGATGTGGTTCAACTCCGATATTTCTTTGTTGAATATTTTGTCCAGTTGATCTATTTAAGACAGAGGGATTTAGAGGAACCATACTATAATTGTGTTGATGTTTATGTGATCTTTTATGTTAAGTAGTGTTTGATTTATAAACTTGAGTATGCTGGTGTTTAGTGCATATATGTTTGTAATTGGGGTTTTTTGGAGTGAATGTGTCAATATATTAAACAATTAATTTATAAACATTTAAAATGATAGATATTGTGCAAAACAGCTCTGCGGTAATAAGAATTATTTCCGCAAGCATGGCATGCACACGATGACGCGTAATACAAAACCTTTCTTAACGAGCAGGTGTCAGCTGCTGCTGGACCTGCCTTGATCTCACAGCAGTGCCCTAATTACGCGTGCAAGCTTTGAACAACGGACAGTTTCTCGAAT